GTTTCAACATTTGATATGTTGTCTTAGCATTATTTTCAATTGAATATAAGGTTGAATGATTTGCACATCATTGCATTGTGTTTTTATTTACATTTTGCACAGCGTCTCAACATTTTTGGAAACAGGGTAGTACTGCACGTCTGCGCATCCTGTTCAGTTGCACTGATAGTAAATAAATAAATAAACAAATAAATTAACTAAACTGGTAAACTAAGACAAATCAAGGTCACACGATGCAAAATATACCAGGCACAGTTTACAAGATGGGATATCAGTGGTTAGAAGAACACAGGTTTAATTCCAGATTTCTCCTTGAAGCCCCCACCCATAATATGGATTTGTTCAATTCCATCTGCAGCACAAATATTACTGGACTTGTTAGGGGAAAAATATTTAATCAAATAACAGGCGAGAAGATGACAAGAAGTCTCAAACATTCGTCATCTGACAATGGATTACACATGTATCTGAGAGCAGCAGATCAAAATAAACAGAATGAAGCTTATGATGGACTACAGAGTAGAACCCTACCAAACATGGATTTTGTAACATGATACTTAAAAACAATGCAAGAACACATGTCCTTCAGGGGTAAATGTTCAGGACAGAAGCCCTGTGACTTGATTTCAATGAATCAACCCCAGACGCAGTCACTTCGCTTTCACTCACTTCCCTTTTCACTTGCACCGGAAATATCTGCACCCTGCACGTTTCTTAAAAAAGATTCATTGTCAGCGTGTCGGGTTATATGTGTTCTGCAGGTTATTTTGTTGCAAGGCAGAGAATGATTACTGTTTGAGCACAGCTAAATACTCGATTAATATAAAGACAGCTTATAATTGTGATATAAGATTTTTTCCCCCAGTTTCCACAAGGAGACGTTTGGAAATTAGTTAAAAGCAAACCCAGACATACATGAAAAAATTTATTTGTATTTAATCTAATATTTGTAATTACTGCGATTTTTGAGCAAATAAACATGCACTGCCCAGTTAAATAGCTTTTTTTTATTTATTCAGGTGCCTAAAATTTTTACACAGTACTAGATAAATATCACCGCTGTTACACCTTGTATCCTTCATTTTTGTCACTATTAAATCATTTATTCTGTGTGCTCCATGCTGATGTGGTTTCCAGTGGTTACAACATGACACCAACTCTAAGAACTATATACAGTATATAATGTGTGAATCATCCTGTATCTGTCTGCACAAAATGTTCTTCTGTGTCCTCCTCAGCTGCAACTTTCGATTATCTAATTTTGATGTCTGGTTTAGCTGACTCATTTTACACTTGTGGTTTAGCTGACTTGTTGTACCTCTAATTGTCAGTGATATATGTTCTCCATATCCACCCATGTAAAAAAAAAAAAGTCCTACTGACTAACAATAAACCAAGTTGGTCTCTGAACATTGGTGCCTCTGTGTTGTTGTTCTGATGCCCTCCCCGAAGCTTTGATGGAGAGCAAACAAGTTCAGTGACATGACGAAGGTATCAGAAAGAGACAGGAGAGCCAAAATTCCTAACAGTCACTTTTTTACTTTTTCTTGCACAGTTTGACAACACCAGTTACCCTTTGCATTGTGTTTAAATTTAATAAAGAGTGGGCCAAAAGAAATAGTCTTAAATTACATGGAGAAAAATCTTGTTAAAAAAAGGTTAAGAATGTTTTTCCTGAAACATGTACATATATACAATGCATATTTAGTTAGGTGTGCACAAATCTTTGGAAGTGTACATACACACATATATCTACAAGTACAACAAATCACACAGCTTATGAACCTGAGCCACCACACTGCTACAGTTTTGCACAGCAATGACTGTGTTGCACAGGTTCCCATTCAGTTCTATATAACATTTTTATTCAAGCACGCACAAATGAGTTCTTCAGTCAGTGGAGTTTGTGCTTTGGCACTTTATACCTTCTGCTAGACCACAGGAGGTGATAAAAGATATGGGATGGGTCAGGCAGTATTTCCTGTGCTCCTCTGAGCAAAAACCATTCATAAACAGACTGAAAGGACTCATATTCCTTTCTCCCTTTACCTTTGTAAGGCAACTGAGAAAATCTCAGACCTCCACCCTTCTGCTTCTTTCTATTCACTACTGCTGACTGGGATGAGACCCCAAGGTTGTCCCAAGACCCGCTGCAGGGATTATATCTCCAGGTTTGCCTTGGGAGCGGCACGGGATCCCCCAGAATAAGCTGGAGGACGTTGCGGTGGACAGGGTCGTCTGGGATTCTCTGCTTTCCCTACTGCTACCAGAACCCTAGCTGAATCAAGCGGTTTAAGATGATGAATGAATGCGTATGTTAGACTAGGGCAGATAACTGCATTAGTAGAGGTAAGAAAAGATGATTTTACAGTCTTATGCAAAAGTTTGGGCACCCCTGGTCAAATTACATTTTTAGATTTATTAACTATAAACAAGTTAACACATCCTCCACAAAGAACATAATTCTGCACAGTTTAATACACAATTAAGGAGGAGGAAAACCTAATCTGAGAAATATCGCTTGGCATGTAGTTCTTCAATAAACTGTTTCTCAACATCATGGTGTGTTTTGGTTCCTGAATCTCATTGCCAAATGCTACATCCACTGCACAACATGATCCAAGAGTAGTTAAACTGTATCAGTGGAAAAGCAGAGCAGCCTTGAATAACACCTTCCTCCTTCCCTTCTTTGTTGATCAAAGTCGAGGGGGGTAGAGAAGTCAGCTAGTTGTTGTACTTTACTGAGACACTTGCAAGGGAAATTGATCATTGTGCTGCCCAAACATGCTCAGATTAGTCCAGGAGCAACAGAGTGTTGCCAGCAGGGGCATTCAGAGATAACCACTCAGCTGGGGAATTAAACCCACAACCTTCAGGCTGCTGACTCACCTCACTTTCCACTTGGCTACCACTAGTATGATGTGAAAGACTGACTTGTTTATCTGCTCACACTACTCGATTATCTGTACTGACAATCAGTCCTGATTCAATTAACAAAATAAAGCACTTTCAAAACCAAGAGTAGCAGAAAAATCACAATCCTTTATTAAAGACTAAAGCACATATGTCAAGCTCCAGTCCTGGTGGGCCAAAACACTGCAGACTTCAGCACGCTACCTCAAACATACCTCAGACACACCTGATTCAGCTCATCAGCTAATTGGCAAGGACTTGAACTGAAAGCGTTAGATGAGGGTAAACGTTAATCTCCGCAGCACAGATCCTCCGTTAGACATGCCTGGACTAAAGCATGAATGTTAATCTGAGTTGTCTCGAGAAGCAACTGAAGTACAGAGAAATCAGACTTCCTTTTATGCAGTTTTGACATGAGGAGGAACTAATCACTTGACTCCTCCTCAATTATTTCATTTAACCTTGACTACCATTATTTATTAGTTAGAGGCATATTCTGCTTCGGTTCGCTTCCATTATATCAGCAATAAATTCCTTTTTCTTTCTATTTGGCTTTGTTCCAGGTCTTCAAACACTGATGTCATCTTATCAGCTAGTTAACCATTATTTTCCACTGCTATTTTACTTTTCATGCTTACATAACTTGGCGGAATTCCAAGCTACACCAATTACATACATTTATACCATCGTTTATAAACCAAATGTATAATTTTTTTCAAAAATCATGGGGCCACACCCCTGGACATACTGATTTACCTATTTCAATTATCTTCCTCGTCCTCTCTCACTCACCATCTATGCCGCTTATGCTTCTGGGTTGCTGGAGCACATCCCAGTACTTTTTTTTTGGAAGGCAGGAAACACCCTGGACAGGTCGCCGGTCCACCACAGGGCAGACAAACACTCACGTCTAGGGGCAATATAGTATCTTTAATTGGCCTGTCTGCATGTCTTTGAGAGGAAACCCACACAGACACGCAAACTCCACACAGAAAGGAACCTGGTCACCTGTCCACAGAATCAAACCCAGGCCCTTTTTGCTGTGAAGTGACACCATCAGCATGACACCCTTAAAATCACCCACACAAGTATATTTTTGAGGAAAGCCCTGTTTCCACTCACTGAAGGTGTGCAGCTGGGGGGTAATCATGGAACTGACTACTCAGGGCCTGGGGTGGTGGTGGTGTTCTCAAGAGGCCTGGACTAAAAAGTTTGCTCTGGTGTCCAGTTTAAATTTGAAAAGTGGGCCCACAGAGACTGCATTTGCTCAGAAATGTATAAAATGCCTCCGTTTAAGTTTAGTTCCTATTACTTTTCATGTCTGCTCGAATTCTTTATGCTCTTAAACACCCCCCCACCTCATTTTACTTTATTTCAAGGGTGTAAGATAGAGTAAGTGCCTTAATTATTGCTTTAATCTACTGTACCATCAATAGAAACATTTGGTACAGTAAAAAATGCTTAAGACTCATGAATAACGTTTGAGATATGTGAATCAACATAATCAGGGGCATAGCCCCATGATTTTAAGAAAATATGTAATGGCCCATAAACTAGGGTAGAAATGAATGGAGTCAGTGTAACTTAGAGCTGAGCCCAGTGATTTTCTAAAAATATATCACTCATTGTCTGGAAAATAATGGTAGTCAGATGATAAAAGATGTCAAGGCCAGTGTTCATCACTGATATAATGGAGTTCAGAAAAGGGTAAATATGCAAGTGACTGATAGACAACGGCTGTCAGACTCACTATGTTCTTTATGTGAGGTAATTTGGAGGGATGAGTGAGGGTCAGGTCGTTAACAGGAAATCATCCCACCCCCAGCAGTACGGTATAAAAGAGAGGTTTGATTTCCCTGTTGCTCTGAAGACCAACTCAGGCTTATTGTTCACACTTTTGTGGATCTTAAATCTTTAATAAATTATTTCATTTTTCTACCACCCTTGGTGTCAATAATTTCTTTTTTTGAATAAGGAGTAAACAGGTTTTCCACGACACTTTCCAGACGGGCAAAACAGAAGGGTCCCTCTCTGAGAGAGTGGGCGGGGTCTGCGCACTGCTCTGGATAAATCTGCGCGCTCTCTCTCCCTGTGACCAACATTTTCTTCCTCGTTCTCTTCAGTGTGGGGGTCGAGATGAGGTTCACTGCTGAACTAAAGACCACAGCGCTCGATAAGGATTACCGAGAGAACCCGCTCTTTCTTCGAGGCACTGTGAGTTACACACGCCGCTTAAATGTCATGTGTAGTGTTCAGCAACGGAAAGCTGCTTTGAACAGTTATTAACTCAATAACTCGATAGCTGGAGCTCAGCTCGGTTTAGCCCACAGAAGTGCAGCTTCAGTGAAAGCTGGTGAGCTTTGGTTCTGATGATATTAGACTCTTTATTTTGACGGGTTGCCTTCGTCTCTTTCTGACACATTTCTAAGTTGAGACACAGCTAAGCAAACAAACACTTCCTGTGTATTAGTAACATGTTGTGCTTTGCTGTGAACCCTCACGTTATTTGTACTTAAAAAATTTAATTACTTATTTTCTTGCAATTAGTTGCTATCATTTAAAGGGGAATTCCACCGATTTTGCAAAATTACTTAATCATTCAGTGGTTTAGATGTAAACTAAGGCCCAATCCCATTTCACCCCTTGCCCCTATTTAGCCCCCACTTAGCCCTCTGTTTTGCGCGTTCACATCTAGGGTTAGGGTGTCCCAATTTTTGTAGAGATAGAGGGGTAGGGGGAAGTGATAGGGCTATATGGCCCTTCGAACGGAGGTTTTTCAGAGGCACACTCCAAACAGAGTGTTATGGAAAAAAAAAGAAAACCCCGGCAAGATGGCTGCGCGAGCGACCAAGTATTTTCTCCATTATAAAATTACGATATCCATTGTGTTATCGTAGTTTAATGTCGTTTCAATGTATTATGGTCGTTTTCTTCATAACAAGCATAAAAAATCCCTAAAAGTATGCTAACGTCTCGGTAGCTAGCTAGCTAATTTTTTTTTTTAAATAGTCCGGCAGGATTGACGCCTGAAGCGCCAGAATGTAACTGCTGCACCATTTAAGGTGGAACAGGAAAATTCGAACAAGAATAGCTGACTTCAGCTTCGTATCACCAAAGAATTAGCGGTGGGTGATAATAAATAATTGTCTTATACCCCCTCTTTGAAAGCATATGATGCCCTAAGTGTGACTAAAGCCCAGCGGCGAGGTTGCTGAACTTTCCCTTCTGCTGTCACTGAAGACGGGCCAGGTCACCTACAGAGCACCACTAGTAGCCTGTTAATGAAGCGATGTGTGGGTTTTTTTTTGTTTTTTTTTGTTTTTTTGTTTTTTTTAATTTGAGGGTTGTCCCATTTCGTAGGACAAGATTTCAAACATTACCCTTTGTAACTCCGTTCCAAGGGGTAAGGGTGACACTCGAAAACAAGGGGTAGGGGTAAAAAGAAGAAATGGGATTGGGCCTAAGTCATTCAGAGTAGTTTGGTGTTAAATGCGCCTTTATAGAGCAATTTACCGAATCAGAGTTGTTCACCATTGTAGTAATAGTACCAAACGTCATTATGTCTGCGCTGCAGATATTTTTGAATAGCATTTTATGTGCCTTTCAAAATGACCAGTGAACTTGCATGTGTCTTGTAAGTTTTTATGTCACGCTGAAAATGGTATAGTGCTGAATTAAAAAAAAAGTTTTCTTTGGGTACTATATTTTTCCTTGCATCTCCCTGCATGTACTTCTCCATCCTGCACGCCTTTTGTGTTGTTTGGGTAGGCAGTGTTGTATTGCACGGTGTCAGCAAAACTCAGTTTGTGTAAGTAATTTTTATTTATCAGATGAGCTGCGATAGATCACTTTGGTATGTTTGTGTAGCTTCAAAACCAGCAAAGTACAACAGTTCTTCAGACTTGGGGTTTGTAGTGACCGCTTCACCGACAACGACTGTTCAAGACCAGTGAAAAAATGCAAAGTGTATTTCTTCAAATGCCAGCTGCTAAAGAAAACAGAGGGAGCAGCAGTTGTATTTTCCACCACAGAAACTGGAATCAAGGTAAGAATTGTTTGTGAGTGAAATAAGTCAGTCGTCATTAGCCACCGTGCATATATCACTGTTAGCCGCTAGCTTACAGACTGTCTAAAGTTGGCCACGCAATAAAATAAAATGTGCCTCGCTGTCCTACCTCATAAACCAGTGAGCAGAGTAGAGTTCAGTCCCTCTCTCTCCGTTTTGACTCTGTCTTCTTCAAGCCGCTGTAACTCATTTGTGTGTTCTGGTTCAAACTATTATGGTGCTATGACATTTTGGAAAAAGACTTCCTACTCTGCCGTCTTCCAAAATAGGTAAGAAAACTGTAAAAAACTGCACACAAAGCTGCTGCTGGTGTTGGCTGCGGTGAATGGCTGTAGCTACAGGCTAGTAACTACTGATCTTGAATGCAGTTTTGAGAGGAAACACAGAAGTAATCCTGGAGTAATAGTTTACATTAAAAATACATTTTTAGGCCAAAACTATCATAAAACAACGTCTCAGGTATCAGGCAGCGCATTCATAACCATTTCATGTAGTGACGTGTAGTAGCTTTTACAGCCATTGAAAGGTTCAGACGTCTGGTTTCTAGTACTATAAGGTGAACAATTCTGACTCAAATTATTCTAGAAAGATGCTTTTCACACCAAACCAATCTGAATGATTTTTACATCTAAGCCATTGAATAATTATGTTATTTTGCTAAATCAGTGGAGTTCCCTTTTAATTGAGTGATGTAGTAAAGTGAAAATAATCCCAACCTAATGAATAAAGAGAATATCATTGATTTGATTTACCGAGAAGAGGGATACATAAGAATGGAAAGTACCAGAAACTCTGTAAGCAGAAGCTCTTAAAGAGTAACTCCACCCTAAGGTTTTTTTTATTTATTAACAGCTGAAATGCACTGCTCTGTAATAATAAAACATACTAGCCTTGCTTAAAATGTGTACATGTCTTTCCAAACTGTAAAAATATAGTTTTTATTGTGGTCAGTTCCACTTTTGCAGCGCCCCTCTGGTTCAACTCTGCTATAGGTGCGGATGATGCGTCTTAGTACCAAAATACCATGAAACGTCACAGTATGCAAATCAGTCAAACAACGTTACCGCCCCCGATGACACCCTGCTCGTGCTGTGCTCATAAATATAAAAACATAAGAGACTAGAGTAAGGAGGTAACAACACTCTCGCGCTGAGCTAAACACCCTCAGCACCATCTCACAAGGCTGCGATATGCCAGCTGTCAGTACCAACTGTAAATAACACAATTAATCTAAGCTTAGTTTGTAATAAAGATGTTGGGCTGATTAAATGAGGATTCTTGTGAGTCGCTATAAAGCTGCCGTCCAATTCACGTGTTCCTTTACAACTCAGACCCTCGGGCACACTCACTCGCTGAACAGACATCAATGGCAAGCCACACGGGAACTCCGGAAAGTGAAACGGTTCAGGAAAAGTTACCGTTAAATGGCCACTGTTACTGACTCTGTCAACCTTTTGTCCATACAGCCGTTCTTGAACTTTTTCCCGCTTTCCGTAGTTCCAGTGTTGCTTGCCGTTGATGTCTGTTCAGTGAGTTTGCGTACAGAGGGTTCGTTTTATACAGGGGAACTTGAATTTGAGTGGGAGCTGAATCGGATGTAACACCGGTAAGTGCCATGAACAGCTTGCAGAACGTACGGATTTAGGGGCCACTGCAGCAAACCCTGGCTGACCAGTGATGCAGTCTGCGACCTTGATGTCAAACTGAATGAAACGTAGACATAGTGTTCAAAGAAATCCACTTTATCCATTCAGAATTCAGGGCATCTAAGAAATCACGACTCAGGTTATATCGAATATGAACCTGCTGAATAGAATGTTCCACTGTTTGGCGCCTCTGCCGCTCGCTGCTAATCATCTTCTGGCACTATGTTAACTCTTTGGTGGCTGGAGTCAGTGACTCTCACTGTTAAGGCTCAAGACGCACTGCCTGATCAGAAACACCTTCCCTTGTCGAAGATGGGGATAGTAGTAGAGGAAAAAGCTTCAGCCTCATAAGACCTCTCAGTTGCAAAAGTGCTGTTTGATACTGTCGCTCTCCATAGTTTCTGGTAACTAACGTATGCTAGCTCTAAAAACACAGCAGCCCAGCTGTAAGAGAAATCTTCTTTAAATAATCAGCCTGAGACCACCGATGTCTTTGAAGCTTTTATTCTTGCAGCAAGGGAGCAGTTACACACAGAATCAAGTCTAGAATGTAATGCTCAAAGCGCTTTGGGTCATGCCCTGTCTTATATCTTTGGAAATGTACGTTTTACTCTTACTCAGCTGAACTATTCTTTAACTTCTGTTTATCTATTACCTGACACATCCCGTTTCTTCAAGTTTACCCAAAGGTCAAGTTCCCCTTTTGCGTACTGTTGTTTTCACTTACTGCTGACAGGAGAGCCCTTTATCTGACCCCACAGTGTACGCAGTGCACTCTGTCTGAACTCCTTTACCTACAGAGTTCTTGACTTAAACATAACCATATATGGTAATTCAATCATTAGCATAGAGTATAATACTGATTTTTCTGACACCAGCCCACACGGTTTCCTTTGCAACCCCACCTCCAAATCCATACATCACAACGGGGCCCCTGCCAATTGTGAGCATTGAGCAAGTTGAGCCACGGGTGGAGTTAGCTGAAAGTAGTGGGGTGTGGTTACTCTTTAAGTGAACTTTTGAACCTTGAGCACAAGAGGGCTGGTTTGTGTAGGTAATTTGTGTAGGCGGTTGTATAAGGGCTTGGTGGTGCAAGATACAAGGGGGATAAGTTTCCTTTAAAAAAAATAATAATAATAACATTTGTCATTTGGACATAATTGTACCCAAAAGGTAATGGAATGTTAAAGAGGGAGGGGTGATTACCTCATCACCCCTGAAAATTGTACAAAAGTGTGAACATTGTATACTGAGATTTGCATTGGATTCTGGAATGGATGAAGGCCTTGTGCTAAGCCTGAATAAAGATTGAAACCTTTTTTCTCTTTCTACTGAACCCAGCATGTGAAGTCTTTTTTTTAAGAGTCTGAGATTGAACAGTTGTTCGGTGTAGGTGAATGGTAAGAGTTTGAGAGAAAATCAGTGTCTGCCTTAAATGATAGGAGTTGCTTGAGAAATGAAAATGGAAATGTACTGTTTTTAGTGAGTACAGTATACTCAAA